AGTTTACATTTTTCCATTAAGGTGTTCTGGTGGAATTCCCTTTGAATTTCCTATGCAAAGGCTAATCTTACGCCGGGAATCACTTCAAAGGAAGGCCTTGTACCAAGTGCTGTATTCACGTGAAGCTTTTTGCTCCCTGTCGCCACAATTGCAGTCGTACCTCTATGTACTTATTGTTCTATGTGCAAGTAATTTTCTTCTTTCAACATAATTTTTGCCCCTTGATCTTATTTCCGCCTTTTTGGTTGGGGTGAGACTTGTTGACTCATTATGTGCAACACAGTGCTAGTCGAATTACCCTGCAGCCTTCTCTTTTTCTTCATGACGCCTCTCACAGTTATTTATTGAGTTCCCATAACAGAAAATCTCTCAAGTATTTGTGCCACAGCCTATTATTTTGATATATTTTTAATTGGTGGTATGGCACCGATGCCGTTTTAGAGTGTTAGTTTGATTTTACACGATATAGCTGAGCTGTGCAATCATACATTTTCACGAGATGTACTTTGTATACACGTATAATGTAAATTCATGGTGTTCGCTACTGCCTCGATGTGATTTTTGCCAAGTATGTGTAGATGTAATTAGCCGGTGCTTTCCAACTTTTTATTTTTGAATTCCTTCATTCATCAGTATTTTTTTTTACTTGTATTCGAACTGTGAAACTCGAACATTTGTGCACCTTGCCCTCGAATGCGCCTGGGCAGTTTTCCCGGTGTTGGATATACTTTGTTTAGTGATCTTCATCACGAATTGAGAGCGCATTGTCGTTTTGTCCCGACCAAGCAGCTGCTTTCATGAATTCTGGTTGCATTAACAGCTTTGCTTAATAAATTCCTTATCATACAACGTATATGTAGTTGTTGTTAATCGCCTGGGTATCCTTTTTGTAGTGTTCTGCTTGCTTTTCATTCAACTGATGAGCCGAGGTAAAGTGATGAGGTAAAGTGAAAATCGGTCGAGGATTAGTCAACGGCTCATCGAGGATTTTTCGCCTGTTTGACCGCTCTCTCTCGTGAGCATTCACTCTTGCCACGCGCGAGCCGTCTGTTGCCCTGAACATGTACACTCACTGTCGACACTGTCTTCACACAGTACAAGGGATTTGCTCGACCATTATTCACCCTGGTAATGAGGCAGATAAAAATATGATCCTGAACTAAGAGCAGATTTTGTGGACATGCTTATTCGTACTGTTGAATTTCCGTTCAGGTAAAATAGTTGTGTATTCTTTCAAAGTTGGCTTTTTCTTTTATGATTTCTTCGATATTTTCTGTGGAAAGTGTGCCTAGCCCAAGTGTTCTATTCCTAGTCAATTGCATAACGAGAGTTTCAATTCAAAAAAACCGGATTATTACGTAAATTGAACAGGGAAGATTTAAAACTTCTCGCCGCACTATTCTTGGAGACCCAGGTATATCAAGTAGGTCAAGAATCAAAAATATGGAGACTTCTGCGCGAACTTCCCAAGCGAGTTGTACGATCAAGGTAGGCAAGAAATGCAGCAAAAAAGAAGGTTGTAATAATAAGCTGCGTCAAGATCCCTGTGTGGAGAACAAATGATGATGAGAACACCGTGTAGGCAAAGATTCGTAGAGATGTAGGGGCCTATGCAAGAATAGCCTGCGCATTCGCTGCTGGCAGTGCCCATCTGCATTCGTGTAAGCCTTCCGACGAGGGAGTTTTTTTTTCAGAAAAAGGGACTCAGCTACCCAAAAAGAACTCCAGATGCATGAGCAATTTTCAATTTCCAGTTCCTGTCCCTCTCAGGCTTGGTCCTAGAGGGAGCCCTCGTATCTTGCGAATAGCCGAAAATGATGGTGGACCAGCTCGCCTCGTATTAAAGCTACATTTCCTGCCAAATGAAACTGCTCATAGTATCAATTCGCTACGAAGGTCCACCTAACAGTTTTGGTCTCCATATTTCCAACCAGCACTCTCCATTATCTCACAAATGTTGGATTAGGACCAAACTTTCGGGCCCGCCAGCAGCCCCCGACCCAACCCCGGCCGCTCTAGGGCAAGATGAGCTGCATGTAGCTGAGCCCCGTCGACCAAAATTTTTCCATGGTGTCATTTTACCATGAGCTTATCAATGCTGCACGCATAATTGATGAGCTGTCCGACCATCCTTCTATTATATAAAACGCTAATTGGTCCTGTTTGTATGTATGTCTGCATGTATGCCTGTGTGTCCGTTCGCAAAATCAACCTATTGCGGACCGCGTGCTGCACCATGTGCAGCACGCCACCACGCGGAGAAGGATAGTAATCTTCGATTTTCTCAGCATTTTGCTAACTTACAAAATCAGCAGTTTACTTCTCCAGACACAGGAATATATCAAGTACTTGCGCACTGGTTAAATTTTAGATAGATTTTTGGCCACTGATAAAAGAGATGTTAAAAACCTACGGAGGTGCAATTATAACGGCCGTCCGCAATGTGTTAAGTGAGTGATAAGGCAGCAGATGAATAAGCAAGCGCCTGACTAAATTCTGGGTTCTCGGCCGTATCTCGCCGTAGTCATGGATGATTTGACATGGACATGATGTATAAACGCCCCAACAGCTGTGTTCAAACACCCGTTTCTAGCACACTTTCGTGCTGGAAGAGCAGGAGGGGGGGGGGGAGAATACGGACGCAGCAAGAACGCGAAGCCTCACGCAGGAAGCAGAGATTGGCGGAGGATTGCCACGGGACCTATTTGGGTCGCATAAACCGGAGCTATCAGGAAAGTTCTCGGCTAGTTTTCGACTTGTTTCTCAGCGTTGATTGCACAATGCTTTGTTGTTTTTTTTTTTAGTTTGGTTGTTTATTGTTTTTGTTTTGTTAATAGTTTCTTATTTTATTTTTTATTATTTTTTGTAAGCCAACATTCTTGTGAAACTTTTGTCAGGCGGACTACTGCCAAAAACAGTAGTTGACAACCAAAACCAAAACCTCTGACTGTGTTTGTTTACTTAGGTCTGCAAGGTACTAGAAGAATTTGAAAGCCTTAACTTACAGTGTCAGCTAATACTAAGGAGTGTGCAAAAGAAGGCCTCAAACGAGTAAACCTCTGCACTGCGCACCTGGTTGGTGTGCAGCGTTAGCACATGTTGCAGTGAGGTCGTAGATCTTACAGTGCTCCACAGGGTAATCAAGACAAAAGGCAAATTCATTAACACTGACAATTACTGATAATTTAACAGGAAAACACTTGGCTATGAAGTTTTTTCATAGTATAATGCACAATAAATTAAGTAATTAGACAACGAGTTCACACGATCTTGTGTGTGTCGCAAGGAGTCGCGGTCTCACGAAGACTTACTTCTGTCAACGACGCCTCAATTTCGGTCGGAATTAAGATAGGGGAACAATTTGCGGTAAATCCGCGACAAATCGGGTTTGTCCAGCTCTTCAACAGATTCGCGATAGCCGGCAAGCGGGGTGTTCATTGTTGATACAGTGGAAGTGGCCTGCAAAAGTGGACAATTATTGAAAATCTCGGGCACCCGACAGGAGGCCCGTCGCGCGGCAACAAGGCAGAGTCAGCGGACGAGTCGCAGCGCGTACTGTAGTGATTTCGCGTCAAGTTAAATAGAATGTACCATTGTACGTCCTACATCGCACATCACGCGCTGCGACTCGTCCGCTGACTCTGCCTTCTTGCCGCGCGACGGGCCTCCTGTCGGGTACCCGAAAATCTCACCACGATTGTAAGATGGCTGATACAAAAACTCCTCTGAGATTGATGTAGGCAAAGGTTGTTCACAAATCATTTGGAAATGCTCCAAATTCCCTTACTCGGCCTAATTCAAAGTATAGTTTAAATGCGTACCACCGCTATCAATGGCGATGTCATCGATTCGGTCGAGGCTTCTGGTGTTCCAGTGGTGACGGATGACTCTGAAGTAACATTGATTCTACAAGGCTTTTTTATCTTGAACTTCTCTAAATCATAACATTTCCTCACCAAATGACGAACTTTCGACTTCTTCCTGAGGAGATGTCGTGGCCGTCGTGGATATGGCAGGTGTGGTGCTATCAGTTTCTTGCATTGTTACTGGAGTTTCCTCTATAGGAGTAGTAAGTCTCACAGTTGCAC